TTTTAAACCTCACCCCAGCCGCGTGTGCGTGCGTGCCCAAGATCCCGAGAGGAGAATGGAGGAGAAGGGATTGCGACGTGACCATCCCCCCTGGGGGGTGATTTCTCGCTTTCTGTCTCTCTGTCTATCTGGCAAGCGCACGCTCCCTATAGCGAAAAAAACCTCTCCAAAAAAAAAATTTTTTTTTGCTAGAGGGCACGTACATTTAACAGAGACAGAGAGGAAAAGTGAGGAACACCCCCCCCCGGGGGGGGAGGAGGAGGATGGCAATGCTGCAACCCCTTCTCCTCCACTCTCTCCTCATGATCCTGGGTACACATATGCCTGGTTGTCCTTCAGCCAGGCCCACGACTCAAACAGGGTAGTCAGCCACGTGGGATCCAGCCACCGCACCCACCATGCCACCGGCTGGGCTCACTTGCCATGTAATAAAATTCACCGTGGAAGGAGTGTCACTTGTAAGAGAATGCACACTGAAGGGCGAAGCTCGTTTGTAACATGCTTATGCCTCATCGTCACTGTTTTCTTTGGAGCTGGGACCTCTCGGCTCACAGGCTGTGTTCCCATCTGGCACGCTCGTTCATTCATTCATAAATATTTTAGAATCTTCATGCTGAGATCTTTACTGCCGTTCACAACCGTAAACAAAACAGACAGAACTACCTTTGGGTAGTTACGTTGTGAAAGGAGGGTAACACATTAAACGAGATAAAATGGAAACTGTACAGCAGGTAATGGCTGCGTGGTGAGGAATAGTACAGAGAAGGGACTTGCCTGGGCATGAGCGGGGGGGCTTGCAGTTTAAAACAGGGTCCTTGGAAAGGCCACACCAAGAGGAGGGAATATGTGAACAAATACTGGAAGAGACTGATGGGTTCCACCTGTGTGACTGGAGCGATGGTGGATTTATAAGAACACACACACGGGACCAGCAGGTGGCGTGGGGGTTAAGTCACTGGACATCCTGGTCAGATAAAAATAAGTGAGCGAATAAATAAAATTTAAAATCTTCAAAATAAAAATAGCTGGTTTTGTTTGTTTGTTTGTTTTATTGAGAGGTTTTTGCTATAGGGCATGTGTGCTCACCAGACAGACAGAGACAGACACAAAGCAAGAAATGACCCCCCAGGGCAGATGTTCACGCCACAATCTCTTCTACATTCTCCTCTTGGGATCTTGAGCTTGCACGCACACGTGCCCGGCGTGAGTTTACCACAGGGTCTGGGACTCGAACGGCGGTTGACTACATGGGAGTCCGGCGACATAGCCATTACACCAACTGCTGGTCCCGAAAATAGCTAGTTCTTAAAAAAAAGACACGGGCTGGCAAGTGGCGTGGTGGTTAAGGGCACTGGACTCCAACATGGCTGACCGTGGTTCAAGTCTTGCACCCAGTGGCTTGCTTTCTCACTTCCTCTCTATCATTCTGTCCTTCTCTGGTAAAATTAAATAAATAAACTTATTTAAAAAAAAAAAAACACAATGGTGTCTGACGGCGATTGCTGTGACAGTGAGCCGTGCAGGGTTTATTCCTTTATAGGGCCATAGGGGAGGGAGCAGCAGAAGGTAAACCTGGGTGCTTCTACGATCAGCTGCAGCTGTGGGGCATCTGGTTCTAAACGAGCCTCCCAGCTTCTCTGGCTGAAACACTTTCATCTCCGCATCGTCCAAGAGAGCGGTGTGGGCCTTTCCTCGTCTTTAAAGGTCACCGTCCTTCAGCCCAGGTTCGACCGCTCCCTGCAGAAGGTGAGTCAGCCATATGGAGGAGGAGCATTGTGGCAAATGAACAGCGAGGCCGAGGCCCTGAGGCAGACACATGCTTGACAGGTTCTCGGACAGCACAGAGGGAGCCGGTGAGGGAGTGCACGGTTGTTGGAGGCTTCTGAGCCAAGATGTGATCCGACCTGACTTCTGTTTTAAAAGGATCATTCAGAGCTGGCCAGGGAGTGGGTCTGTTTCTTCCAGTAACCCGGGTGAGGATCTGGTGGCTTGGTCGAGGTGGTGGAGAGAAGTGATTGGATGTGCTAAGCAAATAGTTGAGTGCTAAAGGGTACAGTGACTTCAAGGTTGATGGCCTATGGAGCCCCTAGGAGATTGGAGCTGCCGTTAGGGTGTTAGGAAGGAATGTCGGTGGAGCCGGTAGCGGGTAAAATGAGATGAAAAGAAAGGCTACGGGGGCGGTTGGTGTGGATCCCCCGTGGCTGGCTGCATGATTGAAGTCCCAGTACTGGCAGCTTGAAAAACAGGCCAGGTGTGTGTGCGTGCAGGCCCCAAATCCCCAGAGGGGAGCAGGGGCTGAGGGGTGATTTCTCACTTCCTCTTCCCCTCTACCCCACGAGCACGCTTGTCCTACAGCGCACGCTTTTAAAAATAAAAAACAAACGTAGTCTACAATTAAGGCAACAAAACAAAAGGCCGAATCAGACTTAGTAAACCTGTACACATTCAAGAAGTGTATCTTGGGACCAGCAGTTAGCGTAATGGCTATGTCGCTGGACTCCCATGTAGTCGACTGCGGTTCGCGTCCCGGACCCGGTGGCTTAAAACTCACGCCGGGTGCGTGTGCGTGCGTGCCTAAGATCCCGAGAGGAGAATGGAGGAGAGGGGATTGCGGCATGACCACCCCCCCTGGGGGGTGATTTCTCACTTTCTGTCTCTGGCGAGCGCACGCGCCCTATAGCAAAAACCTCTCAAAATAAATAAATATAATAATAATAAAAATAAAAAAGTTTATCTTTTAAAGACTTCACATCCATGGGGCCAGCAGGTAGCATGGTGGTTAAGGTCTTGGATCCCACATGGTGAATTCTAAAGTTTAAGTCCTGGACCTAGTAGCTTGAAAACCATGCCAGGCACATGTGCATGCATGTCCAAAACCCTGAGAGGAGAATGGAGGAGTAGGAAATGTAGTGATTTCTCACTTTCTCTCTCTGTCTCTTTCTCTCTCTCTCATACACACACACACACACACACACACACACACACACACACACACACCGCGCGC